ATTAAAAGTCCAGTAACATAAGGGGAGGCAATACCATAAGTACTAACAGCCTGCTTAAGTATCTTTAAATATTGAAAACTGACAGCATCATATTGCACCTGAAAAAATCCATTAGGAAATTCTTCATTAGGAGGCATTTCCTGTCTTAAAATGGGAAAATTAAAAAATCCATTAGGAGGCATGTCAGGAAGAGTCTTTTGGGGAGCCCCTGAATCAGCATCTAACATAATCTTTGTCATTTTAGGTGAATTTGGAAATTTAAAAATATGATGTGGAATGCCAGGGGCAGCAGCAGATGGGGGGATTGATTTCTGCTGTACAACAAGGAAAGCTTGTGCATCCTGTAAGCAAGCCTCCAGTTTTTGAATAAGATCGTCCAAAACATCCAATTTTGGATCATCAGGGGTCTTAGGTAATGGTGGGTATGATTTAGATTGAATAAGACATTTCTCTTTTAATTCAGGTTTTGGAATCTCAGTCTCATCATCAGAAAAATCAGAATGATCATCAGACTGTGAATTGGGCATGGGAGGGGCAGAAGGCTCAGGAGGAGTATCATATATATGTGAAAAAAAATTCTTTTGTGGCTTTAATGAATCAGATTGAGGATGCTGACTGCTATCATCTGAATCAGATTGAAAAGGTTGTAAAGCTAAAACCACCATGTTAAAAGCTGCCCATTCCTCTGCCGATATAACTTCTCCAGCCTGATGAGCTCTCCATAAAGCTTTACCGACCAGCCTCCAAATTTTTAAATCAAATTGGTTCTTATTGTCTGGAGTAAACCAATACCAATGTTTCTGTATCTTTTTTAATAATGAAAGTAAAACTGTCTCTTTAATTTTTAATCCTGAAGCAGTCAACAATGATTTCAATACTGCCATATAATCACTTAACACTGATCATAAACACTTAACACTTAACACTTAATCACTTAACACTGACAGGGAATTCCCCATTATGCCCTGACTCTAAATTTCCCGAAGAGACCAAAGAGATGGCGTAACTCTTTGCTGTCTGTAAAAACCTCCTTGGTCCCATCCATTCCCACGTCTTACCTTTCGTGCCCCTCGTTTGGCACCAGATGTTGATTAAAATGATCGGAGACGCGAAGGAAGACACAGCAGAGGAGGTGCAGGTGAAGAGCAGGGGCCACTGCTCTCTCAGGCAAGTAGCGCCAACCCAGCCGCTGTTACAGCTTTTATTACATTTAGCAAGCTAGTGCATGCAAGATAAGCATTAATGCATAAATTCTGTTATACTTTTCTCAAGAGCCGAAGGCCTTACCTCCCTTCTCAAGCACTTGGTTATCTATAATGTGCCTCCTGGGAACATCCCAAGAAAGTGTTCTCACGACTTCAAGCGTTCTCAAGGGTTGTTTGCAATCCTTGACATTTCTTGGTTAACTCATTTGCGAGTTTGCCAAGTGAACACATCCTTGGCTGCTGACCACAGAAGTCCATTAACTATTTCCTTCAAATGCGATTTTGGTAATAACAATGGCTGCAGTGTTCAGAGGTGTGTGGCATGTATGCAAAGGTAACTTTCCATCCTAAGGTACAGGATCCATGATCTCGTCTCATTGTTGAGAAGTGATCATCATTTCTTTTATGATTGCTGGTACTATTTTTCATGGGGAAGTGACATTATCTCAGAAAAACTGTTGTAAAATACAAATTACAGAAAGCAATTAATGAGGACTTTGTATTGATTCACAGATAAGGACAGAAATAGCTCTGGGGAAACATCAGTGGATGGTGAAAGAAGTTAAGGCCTCAGAGAGTCTTTAGCAGTGCTGTCTGAGAAAAGACAGAAATAAGTTGAGCACATGGCTAGAATGGTTACTCTGAAGGCTTTGTCTCCAAAGTGTGATCTTCTTTACTCTTGAAAACATTGAGCAATACCGGTAGAGAAGGAAGGAATAATGTCCACATTTAGAGCAGTCAGAATTATAAAAATAAATACAGAAGTTGAGGTTTACATTGGCAAAAGACAAAATTACAACAAATTTAAAGATTTCAATTAGCTTTATTTGCAATTCTAGAATGGGGCACCATTTCATTCCATAAAATATAAGTGCTCCAATGAGTCAAACAGAGGAGGTTGGCTTTACACAGAGAAAAAGGGCTGCTGAAGAAAACAGAAACAAAAAACTGAGGCTACTAGAGGTGAGAAAGGGGAAGAGAGGGGGTTAGCAATAAATTGGTACAGGGCTTCAAAAAAATGACTACATTGTGTAATGTTGAATATACTAATTATTCTGATTTGAGTATCACATATTGCTCACAGGTATTGAGATTGATATTCAGATATGTACAATCAATTACGTTTCAAAAAAATAGCGGATTGGTCATTTCAGAGTTATATTCCTTGTAAGGAGGGAGCAGGGAGACAGAACAATAGAAAAATAACTAATTTGTTAACTCAGGTTACTTCAGGTTAAGGACTAAAACAGAAGGAACTTCATTTTCATGCCAATTGAAACTGGCCTGTTTGGGAACTTAGGTGCTTTCTCTTCCCTGATTTCTAGGAAGGCCAGAGTGACAACTCAGAGTGTCTGGTGATGTGGAATTTTAGCAGGGGAGACTGCATTGTGATTTTAGTCTGTTGGGGCCTAGTGCAGGACAAAACAATGGTCCTGCATGGGCTATAGGTAAATTTTTAAAAGACACAGTTTCTTTATTTCTTTCTCAGCATGCATTTCTCTGAGTTCCCTCTTTTCCCATGGTTATTTGATATTTTGAACCTTGGTTATGGGGCAAGAAGACATTACTCACATGAATATAAAGTTGTTTTCCAGTCTGCCGGAAGCTACAGGCTTGCACATACTCTACAGACCCTGGCAAACCAAGGAAGACATCAATAAAGCTATGCTGATTCCACCCCCCAGCAAGACCCTGAGGTAAGGATGGGAGCAGAAACCAGACCGAATCTTGCTGAGATTCTGCACCTGAGACCTTGCATGAAACCCTCACTGTTCATGTGCCCCTCCCTCCTGCTGTTCGTTTCCATGTTCCACTCCTTCATCTCCTTCTTTAAAAACCCCTCAGTAAATTTGAGTCTTTGAGATGGCTTTAGCCTAGCCATTATCCTTCAGGTTTACTGGAGAGATGGGTTAGCTTAACATCTCTCCTCAGGTCGCTGGTAACTTTTCCATTTTCACCAACATTTGACCTTTGGGTTGTTCGTTTTTTGTGTGGGGCAGGCGGCCAGACTTGTATGGCCAGTAACAAATTTTGGTGAGCCTTAGCCAGGAGTTGAGTGTGCCCTAACAGTCCTCTTACAATTTTTAACAATATATAGCATTATACTTTTAGAATTGTGTCTGCATATGTGTGTATCATTCTCATTCTCTGTGTGTCTCTGCTTATTCAAGTATGTTGAAGACACAGGGACAGAGAGAATCTCAACAGACTTTGCTAAGTTCCCCCCACCCTCCGCCACTAGTTTGCTAACATTAGATTGTATCTTTTAAACTAATTACACTTCCACAACCATCTACTTCTTCATCAAACCTAGCATAAAAAATACTCAGGTTTAATCTCTTTCTTTGGTGTTCATTTTCTTTTTCTTTTTGGGGCCAGCCTGTATAGGGATTGAACCCTGGACCTTTGGGTCTTCATTTTCATATGGAAGCTCCCATGTCATATAAAACTTATATTAATTTTTATGCTTTTCTCTTGTTAACCTGTCTTTTGTTATAGGGGCCTTAGCCGTAAACTAGCAATGGTTGAGGAAAAGATATTTTTCTCCCCTACAGACTATAGATATGTACTGCCTTTCTATACATATAGGACAATCTAAAGCAACTTCCTCCTTTATACCTCCTTATCTCCACGTTTAGTAGATGTAAAGCATCCTCTTTTTTTTTTTTTTTTTTTTTTTTTTTTTTGTCTTTTTTCCGTGTCCGGCAATGGATCGCAACCCTCAGTGTTGCCCCCGTACCGGACCGGGGACCGGCAACGGGATCGCAAGCCTCGGTGTTGCTCCCGCGCCTCGCTCAGCCAGTGAGCGGGAGCCGGTCTGTATGTGGGATCCGAACCCTCGGGCGGGAGCGCCGCCGCGCTTCCCAAGGCGCACTATTCAGTGCGCCACCGGGCTGGCCCTAAAGCATCCTCTTTTTAAAGACTGCCTTACATTTCACTGTCTGCATGTTCCACGGCTTGCTAGCTGCAGGGGGGAGCCAGACCTGGCCTACTGATCTCTCCTCAGGCTCAGCAAGATCCCTCCTCCAAGGCCACTTGAAAATTCCACAGAGACCCCAGGGTCAGAGGTCCCCCAGGCTGACAACAGGGATCAGTAGTGAGTGTATGATGACTGTGAAACTGGTGACACTGTTTCAGGCCTTGGGAT